CGCAACCCTCCCAGCTGCTCTTTTGAAGAAGGGACTCTTGAGGAGTTCAGGATTTCGTTTTCCCTTGTGGAAGGTTGATGTTCCCGGTGTAAACGCGGTGCTTCGCTAAAGTGAGATCCTTGGGAGTCCACTTAGTCCCCGCCAGCCCGGAACGACAAGGCGGAGCACCGCGTTTCCTCATTGCCCCCATTGACGATTACTTCCGCCTACAGATCTGGAATACCGGCGGCTTTTTGGCGGCGAACAACGGGAAAGGCACTTCCGGTATCTGTTGCCAAGGCGCCGGCCCGGTGGGCCTAGTTTGGGGAAGTTTTTGGCGTGGTCCTCTCCCCCCTTCCTGGGGGTCGAGATGTCGGGGCTCAGCTACCCAGAGATGGAGGGCTGTCGTAACCTGCTCGGCCTGTTGGACAACGAAGAGATCATGGCTCTGTGCGACACCATCACCAACCGCCTGGTGCAGCCTGAGGACCGCCAAGGTAAGGGTAGACCCTCCTCCCCAAGGGCCGGCGTCCCTCCCCAGGCCTCACTGACCCCCAGTTTGGGGGAGCGTGCGAGTGGAGGCCGTGCAAGGCGTCGCCCCTAGCCCGTCCGGCGTCGTGCTTTTGCGGAACCCTAGGGAGTCTTGGCCTCGGGCGGCCTCCCGCGCCAAGCCCCTCCTGGAAGTGGAGTAGGTGGAAACGGCGCTGCTTCCAGGTTTTACCCATTGAATGTTATGGGCAAATGCTGCTTGTTTCGAGGATTCAGAGTAAGTGAATAGTGATTAAAAAAAAAAAACTTCCGGGGAGTCAGTGTATTTTCCATTTTCAGTTTCGATTAGCTGAGGAATGTCAGCTCTTGCTCATTTTCTTCAAGCTTGGGAGAAGATAGCAAACATTTTCTATCAATCTGCTCCGAAAGCAACGACTGATAAAAGAGCGGATAGTTTGAGTCCATGTCTCTGTGGATCCGATTTTTTTCTGAGATGTTTCTGTGTACTAGGAGTAAATTACTTTCAGAGCCAAATGAACACTTCGGTAGAGTGGATTTCATGGATTATAAGTATTCAGTCTGGTTGTAACTAGTACATATAAAAATGTAATGTAAACACTTATATCATTTTGTAATCACCTGACTAGTTTTATTTTAAATTTGCAGAATTTTACTTTAAAATGCGAAGATTTCCGACTTCTGTGTTAGCATGATTTAAGTTAGAGTCTGCCTTTTAAAACTTTCTCTGCTTTTAAGTCGATTTACATTTTTAAGAATTTAGACTGAAGATAATTTCAGACTTAATGTAGTTCTTTGGCATTTATATATTTTACATACTAACAGTCTCGGTGAGTGTGGTTTAAAATTGTAATCGATAAAAATGCTGGATTTAATTGATGGTGAATCTAAAAGCAAGTAAGAATCTACCCAGTACAAAAATGCTAGATGATTTGAAGAGACATTTCTCAGAGGAAAAAAAAAAAAAGCATATGAAAAGATAGTCAACATCGTTAGAAAGCAGTGAAATGAAAACCAAAAATACAGGATGTCTTTTATATGTACCAAATCGGCAAAAACTAAACGTGTAAACTTCAAGTGTTGGTGATATTGTGAAGTTAAGTCTTTTGACAACTACTGGGGGAGTATAAATTAGAACTACTACTTTGGAAAAAGTTTGATATTAACTCCTAGAGTGGAAGATTGCTTACCTGAGCTTCTCAAACTTCAGTGTGCCTGTGAATCCCTCAGGGGATCTTGTTAAAATTCTGAGTAGATAGTTTTGGAGTGGGCCCAGAAGTTGTGCACTTGTAACAAGCTCCAGGTGATGCTCAGGCTGCTTGCCCCTCTGGGCTGGGAGACATGTATGGAAACGTTCCAAGTAATAGTGTTTGTAATTGGATACAGATAATAAAAGCCCATAAACAAAAGGATAGATACCTTGTGGTAGAGTCAATTAATATTTATTATCTGTGGTACAGTGCTGGCATGAATTAACTCCAACAGCTGTATCTGTCCACATAGATTAATCTCAAAAACATTGAGCTAGTTAACAGAAGACTATGTGTATCAATGGATTAGATTTATAGAACATTCAAAAATTACCAAAGTATATTATGCAGGGCTACAGAGTTATGCTGTACAACTATAAAGGAAATCTAGGGAATGATAAGCAAGGTTTAGGACAGTCAGTACATGTGAGAAGAGAGAGGGAATAAATAACCTTAAGTAGGGAGAGGTAAAATGAGGGCCTCAAAGATACTAGTAATTTCCTATGTCTTAAGCTGTGTGATGTGTATATGGGAGTTCATTTTATTACCATTCTGTATACTTCATACATGTTAAAAATAATCTTTAGTTTGTTGTTTAATAGAAGTTCTTTAAAATTGAAAGAAGACAGCATACAAATCTTGGTTCTGCCACTTCTTAGAAGTGTAATTGTTGATCCCTCATGTATCCCTGACTTTCAATCTCTCTAGAGTGAGGAGACTGAACTGAAAGTTCTTGCGCATATAAGACATTGTAACTTTACCTATTTTTAGGGATTGTAAATGAATTTAGGTCCATTGACCTTATTAGAAAAAATATTTTTTCTTTGCAAATTTATTCTTAAAATAAAACCATTCTTTAAAAGAAAATGCAGAAATTCACAATCTCTTATGAGAAGTGAAAGGAAGGAGGAATTTTAGGTAGGGAAATACATAGCATAAAGAAATTGGTTTTTTTTCTTTTTAACTTTTTTTTGTTTTTTTCTTTTTGGTGGAGGGGGGAATTAGGCTTATTTATTCATTTGTTTATTTTTAAATGGAGGTACTGGGGATTGAACCCAGGACCTCGTGCATGTTAAGCATATGCTTTACCACTGAGCTGTTCCCTCCCCGAAGAAGTTTTTTAAAACTCAAAACCTGACAGCCCACTTGCTCGTTTTTTAAAATGATAACCATCTCATACAGAAGCAATAATGCCATGAGAAGAGTTATAAATATTATTCGATAGAGTTTCTGCTGACCCTGCATAATTTACAAATGACTTGTGGTTTTCTATTAATCTTTACAATTTTCTTCTAGATGCCATTCGTGCAATATTAGTGTACAGTCAAAGTGTAGACGAGCTTTTGAGGCGTAAAAAAGTCCACCGAGACGTCATATTTAAGTACTTGGCAACACAGGGGGTTATTATACCTCCAGCTACTGAAAAACACAATCTTATTCAGCATGCAAAGGATTACTGGAAAAAGCAGTTAAAACTGAAGCTGAAGGGAACGCCAGAGCCAGTTAAGACAGAAGACATTAAATTCTCTGAACAGGTAAAACAGATCTTATAGTCATGTGCTGAACCATAGTTCTATGTAAAAATCTTCAGATAATCCTAAATCTTGGGATGACATGGTTAATTTTTTATAATTTTAGCTTTACTTTATATCTTTTGCATCCTAAAGGAAGAGCCATAAAGCACCTAACAGACAAAATATTTTTGATATTAGTAATGTATATATAATATTCTGTTGATTTGTGAGGGAAAATGTTTTTATCCCTTTATCAAACAAGGACTGTTAATTTTTAAAGAGAGTGGATAGATCACAGGATCAATTTAATTTAGCTTCTGGTTCTCTGTAATTATTTTTTTCCACTTAAAAAAAATGCTGTTGTAAACCCTTTCTCATTTGGAAGACTTTCTTTGGTATTAAATTGCAGAACATTCATGAAAGAAACTTTTTTTTTAAGCTAGAAAAACATCCTGTTTTAGTAATTTCCTCCATCTCCATTGACTGTTCCTATTTCTTTGTATCTCCACTGTACATTTTAGATACTGTGTGAATATTTAAATATCATTTGAATGAACCTTTAAGTAATTTGTAGTTTTTTAAAGCTATGTACCACATGGAATTAATGGGGTTTTACAGTGAGATGTTTGCCTTCACATTAAGAAAGGATCTTCTATGGGCTTCCTTAATGTACTGAAAAGAATGTTGACTTTGAAATCATATAGACATGACATCAGATTAGGGTCTTCTATATACCAAGTGTAAACCTGAGCAAGTAACGACCTTTCTGAGCCTTGTTTTCTTTATAAAATGGGCATAATGATACTATCTATGTTATAAGGCTTGTGAAGATAGAAGAAAGTAGCACCTAAGTGCCAAGCACAGTGCCTAGTGCATTTAATAATAGCATGTGCTCAGTAAATACAAGATCTTCAACCATCTAAATGGGGTCCTGCTATGCTCTGGAATATATCATCCAATATAAATCTAGCCCAACAGGTATATTTTTGCAATAATACTTCCTTGGGGGAAAAAGAAATAGTATAAAGTTATCCCAATCATAGAAAATAACCTATTTCAATCGTATTAGAAGTACCTGGTTAAAGACCGTGAAAATGCTTGTTTATTATAAACTATATTGTGATATAATTTACATGCAGCAAGGTGTATCCATTTAAAGCATACAGTTTGAAAGTTATAACAGATAAATACCTATGAAATCACTGCGACAATCAAGAGAAAATGCTTATGTAAATCATTGACCGTTTCTTCACGCTGATATTTTAAGACTTTGTTAAGCCTTAATTTCTTGGCTGAATTTTCAGAAGTTTAAGCTGAGAAATTCTAAAATGATTTTTCCCCTTTTTGAGAAAGAATTTACTATGTATAATGGTTTC